GTAAAAAACACAAGATAAATATTTAATTTTCTTTTACGTAAAAGATAAAATAGGATACCAAATTGGAAAGAAAATGATGTAAAAAAAAAAAAAAAATGTAATAGCACAGTAAAGACAATATATTGTACAATAATTCGCTAAAAATTTATATCCAGATTCCACACATTAAGAAAAAAGCATTATATATATCTATATATATATATATATATATATAAATAAATAAAAAGACCATTTTATTTCCGTGAAAAATATTAAATATAGTTTCAAGACGTTAAGTTTATAATCATAGATCTAAATTATTTTCATATTTATTTTTATAGTCATTAATCTTGAGATATTTTCGCTGTCTTAATATTTCAAAGCACAATAAACAAAACACAGAAAAATATCTCTCAATTCATTATGAAAGAGATTGATGGGACTTGACTTGGATCAGACGTTGTGTTACGAATTATGAAAGACACTGACTTCAAAGGTACTTCAATTATATGAGGAGACCTTGACTTAGATTTCCACAATAAAATTCTTCCGTAATATGTTTTTTTAGTTTGATTTTTCTCGTAGTTCATAATTTGTTAATATTAAAATTTATCCAATTGGATTAATCCTATTATCTCCTATTATATCAGACACATATCCTTAAACATCTTTATATACTTAAATTATAAGAGAGTTTATAATTGGAGTTCACAACTTTTATATGTATATTTTTTAAAAATAATTACTATTTTTCATAAAAATTAAAAAAATATAGAATAATAGAAACAACCAAAAGCTAACAAATAAAAAAAATGATGCTGGACTTGGGGTGAACTCATAGAGCCTCTTTCTCTTCAAAGTAAGGGATAGTAGAGTAAAATACGAATCTCACCTTCTTTTATCCGTGGCAATTCGTATTGGTGTGTTGTGTTCATGTCAACACGATTACGATATGAACACGATTATGATCGACATGAAAATAATACGATTATTAATCGTGTCTAAAATCTTTGACATGAATACAACACGTTTATTATACGTATAACACGACACGCCTAACCTGTTTAATAAATGAATCAAGACTTAACACAATACAAAAAAAACATGTTTAAATCATTTTTGACACGAACACGATATGTTTATTCTACACGTTTAACTAAATAGATTATTTTTTGTACAAATAAGACTCGTTTAGTTAATTGGATTAATCGAGTTTACAGGGTCAAACACGACACGTTTAATTAGTTGGTTAATTTGTGTCGACAAGAATACAATTAGTTAAAACTCAAATCATCTTATCTCATATTATGTCCGTATCATATTAATTTATCGTATCAAATATTGCCACTCCTACTCCTACTCCTACTCCTACTCCTACCTACCTTCCCGCATTCCTTTCTTTTTATTTGGTTTATTATTTTCTTTTTATTTGGTTTACTTTTTCTCCTTTTTCTATACATGTAACGCATATACTGAAGTGTGGAAATCTGGGTGGCTTGGAATTTTTTTGTTCAGATCTTTTTGGCATCATCATTTTCAAACTGTAAAAAAAAATTATTTGCTTTATTATTTTCTAATATCATTTTTTGAAAACATAATTAGAAAAAAGGAGACATTATTACTTATTAGTAAATACCAAATTAAATTTAGAGTTTATATAACAAAAACCTTGTGACTTAAATTATCTTTCATCAAAAAATAAATAAATATCTTTCAATACGAAATAAAAGCTAATTATCAAATGTATATGCCGTGGTGAAATGGTCCCACCATATGTGACTTTGACTCTAGTAATTAACACATGCAAAAAAAACACAAGACAAATATTTAATTTTCTTCTGCATAAAATATAAGATAGGATAGCAGATTGGAAAGAAAACGATTTAAAAATAATAATAAAATGTAATAGCACACTAAAGACAATATATAGTACAATAATTCACTGAAAGTTTATATCCAGATTTCACACATTAAGAAAAAAAGCATATTATATATATATATATATATATATATATATATAAGTATTTTATTGCGATGAAAAATATTAAATATAGTTTCAAGACTTTAAATTTATAAACATAGATCTAAATTATTTTCATGTTTATTTTTATAGTCATTAATCTAAAGAAATTTTCGATGTCTTAGTATTTCAAAGCACAATAAACAAAACGCAAAAAAATCTCTCTCAATTCATTATGAAAGAGATTGATGGAACTTGATTTGGATCAACTCCACAAACGTCTGAATGGGAATATGTACTTCAATTATATGAGGAGACCTTGACTTAGATTTCCACAAGAAAATTCTTCCTATTGTAATATGTTTTTTTAGTTTGATTTTTCTTGTAGTTCATAATTTGTTAATAATAAATTTTATCCAAGTGGGTTAATCCTATTATCTTGTATTATACCACACGCATATCCTAAAACATCTTTATATACTAAATTATAAAAGAGTTTATAATTCGAGTTCACAACTTTTATAGGCATATATTTTTTAAATAGTTATCATTTTTTATAAAAATAAAATAAAAATACTTTAGAATAATAATAGAAACAACCCAAAGCTGGCAAATAAAAAAAAAAAAATGACGGGACGAAACTTAAGATCTTGACTTGGGGTTAACTCATAGAACCTTTCTTTGTTACAAAGCAAAGGATGGTAGAGTAAAATATGAATCTCACTTTCCTTTAAGGGTGGCAATTCGTGTTGGCGTGTTTTGTTCGTATCAATATAATTACGATACGAGCACGATCAGGATTGACACGAACACGATACGATTATTAATCATATTTAAAATCCTTGACACATGCACGGCACGTTTATTACACGTGTAACAAGAAACGTATAACCTGTTTAACAAATAGATCAAGACTTAATACGACACGAAAAGACACAATTAAGTCATTTTTTATACTAACACAATATCTTTTTTATTAAAAAAATAATAGAAACAACCAAAAGCAAAATGATGGAACCAAAATTAAGATCTTGACTTGGGGTCAACTCATTGAGCCTTTCTTCATTATAAAGTAAAGGATGGTAGAGTAAATTACTAATCTCCCACCTTCCTTTATTCCTTTCTTTTTGCTTTTAGACCACTTACACCATTAATTAAAAAAAAAGTTCAACACAAAGAGTGATTCATATATGTTTTCTTTTTCTCCTTTTTCTATATATACATATAACGCAATTACTAAAATGTTGAAATCTGTGAGGCTAGGAATTTTTATTTTTTATTTTGATAATATGGTGTTCAGAGCTCCATCCCAATTAATTTACGAGTTTGTGCAAAGCGACTCCTCTACACGAATAAGGTAAAACTTGGACTATGTTCGCGATCCTGGTCCCTAAGGAATTGATCGCATTCAAGAACATTCGAACTTAAAACTTAATGTTTCATGAGGCACTAAGTCCAAGGCCTTCACCTAGGGTCTCAATTGGGGTTGAGCAGGGAGCTTGTTAGGGATAATTAACTCCCTCTAACCCACTTAACAGTCGGCTGTTATTGAAAGTTAAACTCCCCCTTCATCACACACGGCGAAAGTATCATCACATCATAAGCACATATGGAGAATCATATACATCTCCTCACAACACTCACTCTCAAACCCCGTACATATTTTCTCTCTTCTCTCTCTCCTCCAAACCCAAACCTATCTCTATTTATAGAGCCTTCAAATCATAATTCCTTGTCGGACAAGTATTCCTCAACTTACCTACAAGAAGTTATCATATCAACTCTAAAATACCAGGCACAACTTCTTGCCTAAATCTTCAACCTTTTTCCCTAGTCTCCTTGCTTCTAAAACTTATTAGGAAGCTAATTCTTGCACATATCACGTATGCGCAACCAGTGACGGAGCTACTATTGCCCCACTGAATTTTTTTATTTTTATTATTATTATATATCACTAATTTTTCTTATTTTCAATTATATACCTATAAAATTTTCACTTTGCCCCCCTAACTCCTTTCCCACAACTTTCTGGATCCGTCCCTAAGCGCAACCAATTACGTTAAAATGCAACTGGTCCCATTTCTCCAAACATTCATTCTGCCCAAACGCAACCAGTTGCGTTTTTCCAAAATATAATTCTTTTTGTGAATTTTAAGCCACAATTCTAAAGAGATGGCCCCCAAATTTTTTTGAAATTTTTTATTAGTATATGGCCCATTAGTCCTAAAATTATCAAAGTCCAAATTTGGGCCCTCAAATATATTAGCCCAACTCAAATACATAAGAAATTAATTAGTTTATATATTAGCCCAACCCAATTGCAATAAAATATCATCCCTTATGAAATAAAATATTAGCCCAATCCAATTAAATAAAATTTTTAGTTAATATAGTTAATCTATTTAAGCCTAATCCAATAAAAATCTCTTATAATATAAAAATTTCCCAAATATAATATATATATATATATATATATATATATATATATATATATTACATATGTTGTATATGCTGTATAACATAAAACAAAACATTATCCTGGGATACAAACACAATTTCAACGGTACAATCCAAAAACTTGTATCAATTGTATGTATTCTTGCAATGGTAGAACAACGAAGATAAATATTAAATATGTAAGTTCATTTTTCCTCCTTCACCTATTTCTCTTTTATTATTATTAAACAACTTACTTATTATTCATTCTTCAAAGCTCTAAGTTTTTTATTTATTTATTTATTTTTTTAATGCTCTCCCTAAAATTATTACACGGCCCCCCCTCCCCCGGGCGCATAATTATTACACGTCCCCCTCCCCCGGGCGCATATATTATATTTACCTTTGTCCATATATATGTATAAGCCAAATAATTAGTTTTATATATATATATATATATATAATTGGTACTTACATACACATGCCTCCCCCGAGACTCGAATCCCTGACCTACCTTTAAAAAGTAGAAGCCTAATATGTAATGTTTTTAACTTTATGTATATATATATATATATATATATATATATATATATATATATATATATATATATCTATATATGTTAAAGTTAAATAAAATTTTAATTCACCTGTGGGGCCCACATGATTTGTAAGCCAATATTATTACCTTTTTCTTCTTCTCTGCGTATTACGTTCTCTCTCATTCCAGAAGCTCTCTAGAATTTTTTTTTTTTTCTTTTTATGGTTTCAATTTCAATCTTTGATTCCATCTTCATTACTTGCCGGATTTAGGTGCCGTTTGAGGCAAAACAACGAGTGTGACGAGCTCTACGCGTTGATGCAAGCAATTTCCAGTTTTGAGTTTTCTTTGGAACTCGAAAATTTAAACCAATTTCTAGGGTTTTGCCTATTTTGAGGTAGGGGCATCTTAATCCACTCTAGTCTTGTTCTATTGTGAATTTTACCTCCATGTTGTATTAAATATGCTTAATTTAGAGTTAATTATATCTATGATGGTATTAATAATGTCTAGAGGGTTTTTCACGATTTTGAATATGGTTGGTTCATGTGCAAATTATATTTAGTTGTTGATTTTCTATGTTTACTATGTGCTAGCATGCTGAAATTGATGTATGAGAGTATGTTTATTTAAATTGCGCCAAATTTCCCAATTCATGATGTTGAGCTCATATATATATATACATGCACATGCTTAAATGTATTTTGTTGTATCTTAATGTGTTAATAATTACTTGGGAGATGTTGAACATGCTGAATGTTTAATTTTATGATGGAAAATTTTAAATGCCATGACATTGAATGTATGGAACATATATACATGCACATACCATTGGGTTTGCATGAAATGGGAGAAATTATTCTTGAAATAAATATGGGGAATTTCAGGGAAGTGTTTTTGATAAAGTGGTTTTATGCGAAACCCGGTCGCTGCGGGGTTACCAACGGGCCGGAGGTTAATATAGCCTAGAGGGGACTAGGGAGTCGCCCTAGCGTGGTTGAGCTAGCTGGGCCCCATAATGACGTCGCGGGGTTACCAAGGGTCAGGGACACTAGCCAATCCTCTTTTCGTGTCGCGGCGGGGTTACCAAAGGGCGGGCTGTATTAACGTTTGAAAGTGATGGTTTTGAGAATGAAAATGGGGAGTGTCATTGACATGCATTGCATTTCATTGCATTGCATTGCATTGCATTATTTATAATTGGAATTGAATTGTATGTTGTATTTGATCCCCTACATTGTATGATCCCTATCTCCCATTGGCTTATGCTTTACTTGAATTCACAAGGACACAAGATTTGTGTCTTAAGTGTCACCTACTGAGTATATAGCTCACCCTACTATTTATACATTTTTTTCAGGTCTTGCGAAAGAACCGGTGAACGACAACCGACCTCAAGCTTGAGCGATACTAGAAGCTCACTTTTGTGTCTTTTGTATATCTCCCATTATTTTTGCAAAGCACTAAAAGTGTGAAGGTGTATATGTATATTTTGCAAAATTTTGTTATGTAATGTAATTAAGGTATTTGATGATAATTTGGATGTGAATTTGATAACATGTAAACCTTATTGATGCATGGGGAGAGTAATACTAGTTTGAGGTATTATCGAGGTCATTTGATTGTGTATTATTATCTACTATTGCCGTGAATTCGGAATTTGAGCCGTGACAGGTTAAAAATGCAATTAAATAGGTTGTGATAGGCCTATTTTTAGGGGAGGTTATGCCGAATTTTTTTGTTTAAAAAGTATTAGTTTTGAGACGTTACATAATACCGCTAATGTGATGTCTGTATATATTAGTGTGTGTGGTGTAATTTAAATGAAAAAGAAAAAGAGAAAAGAAAAGTTAATGAGTGGGACCCACAAGCATTTAAATGGTCATGAGACCATCTTTGCTTTCATTTTTTTTTTCTCTCATTCCCGTAAGGTTATCTCTCACGTCCAGAACTCCTCCTTTTTTTTTTCTTTTTTGGTTCCAATCTTCAAGCTTTGATTCCATCTTTATTACTTGCCGGATTTAGGTGACGTTTGAGGCAAAACGATGAGTGTGACGAGCTCTACGTTCTAGTACCAGCAATTCCAGTTTTGCTACCTTCCTTAGAGCTCAAAAATTTAAACCCATTTCTAGGGTTTTGCCTATTTTGAGGTAGGGGCATCTTAATCCACTCTAGTCTTGTTCTATTGTGAATTTTACCTCCATGTTGTATTAAATATGCTTAATTTAGAGTTAATTATATCTATGATGGTATTAATGATGTCTAGAGGGTTTTCACGATCTTGAATATGGTTGGTTCATGTGCAAATTATATTTAGTTGTTGATTTCCTATGTTTACTATGTGCTAGCATGCTGAAATTGATGTATGAGAGTATGCTTATTTAAATTGCGCCAAATTTCCCAATTCATGATGTTGAGCTCATATATATATATATACATGCACATGCTTAAATGTATTTTGTTGTATCTTAATGTGTTAATAATTACTTGGGAGATGTTGAACATGTTGAATGTTTAATTTTATGATGGAAAATTTTAAATGCCATGACATTGAATGTATGGAACATATATACATGCACATACCATTGGGTTTGCATGAAATGTGAGAAATTGTTCTTGAAATAAATATGGGGAATTTCAGGGAAGTGTTTTTGATAAAATGGTTTTATGCGAAACCCGGTCGCTGCGGGGTTACCAATGGGCCGGAGGTTAATATAGCCTAGAGGGGACTAGGGAGTCGCCCTAGCGTGGTTGAGCTAGCTGGGCCCCATAATGACGACGCGGGGTTACCAAGGGTCAGGGATACTAGCCAATCCTCCTTTCGTGTCGCGGCGGGATTACCAAAGGGTGGGCTGTATTAACGTTTGAAAGTGATGATTTTGAGAATGAAAATGGGGAGTGTCATTGACATGCATTGCATGTCATTTCATTGCATTGCATTGTTTATACTTGGAATTGACTTGTATGTTGTATTTGATCCCCTACGTTGTATGATCCCTATCTCCCATTAGCCTATGCTTTGCTTGACTTCACAAGGACACAAGATTTGTGTCTTAAGTGTCACCTACTGAGCATATAGCTCACCCTACTATTTATACATTTTTTTCAGGTCTTGGAAAAGAATCGGTGGACGACAACCCACCTCAAGCTTGAGCGATACTAGAAGCTCACTTTTGTGTCTTTTGTATATTTCTCATTATTTTTGCAAAGCACTAAAAGTATAAAGGTATATATGTATATTTTGTAAAACTTTGTCATGTAACCTTGTTGATGAATGGGAAGGATAATTTTAGTTAAAGTAATTATCGGTGTTATTTGATTGTGTATGATCATATACTGTTGCCGTGAATTCGGAAATTGAGCCATGATAGGTTAAAAAATGAATTTAAACAGGGTATGGTAGGCCTATTTTTAGGGGAGGTTATGCCGAATTTTTTTAAAAAAAAAAAAAAAATTCTTGGCATTAGTTTTGAGTCGTTACAGCTAAATTACTGGTCTGTTAGTCATCATATATACATTAGTAAAACTTTCATAAAACTATTCCTCAAATATGCATCTCTTCAAAGTCACCCCTACTATGGTGACTCCGTTCCAACCATTGCGCCATGAAGAGTTCTGTTTTCACTACTTTTATTTCTATATATTAGAAACCAGGTAAACTAAATAAGGAGAAAAAATATCTTTAATTGATTGAAAAATAAATGAAAGAGAAAATACCATAAATGAATAAACAAATAATAGTGTTAAAAAATTAGATTACAAGACAACTTGGATATGGAAACAGGAAAAATATGTACATACATCAGTATGGACTGACTTAACATATTCATAAGATGAGTGAATTGGTTGGGCAGATCGAGTCCCACTGAATATCTAATCACATGCTTGAATAACCATTCTGCAAATAAAGGTTTAACATAATTATAACTTTACAACAATAATCAACAACTATAATGCAGCCTATAAATTTTTTTTAAAAAATCAAAATTATATAGTTATTTCGCTTTAGAATTTTATACCTTGATGATGAACGAGTAAAATCCCAAAGTAGATCCTCTGCCTCCACAATGAGAGAGTCAGTAATACATGTAAATCCTTGTTTCAAGTGAAAGGGTCATCATCATCTATCAGCCATTGAGCTAAAAAACACTCTTTGAACCAGCACTGTTTTTTGTACACTCTACACAGCATGATATCAATCCTGATAAGCCTGCCTCCCTTGGATGCGACATGTCATTTTCCCGTCTTTGTAATACTCTTACAAACTCATCCGAGCTTAAACTCCCGTCACGATCCGCATCAAATACATAAAATATCATATCAACCACATTATCAGTGAGAGGGATGCCACAAACCTTGAATTAAAATGAACCAACTGTATCAGTATCATATAAATGCTTGAACTTTTTTGAAAGGAAAGAATGATACACTAAATGCAAGAATGAAGGCAGGGGCGGAGCCAGGATCTTGAGGTTGGGGGGGCCAAAATTATAAGCAACATTAGAATTTTTTTACCTGAATGAAGGGAAAGCCGGGTAGACATACTTGATATGCAGCCCTGTCAACTGCCCATTCATAGATCCATAACTGAAGATGGCCAGAGACAAGGGCCTTAAACTTTTACGTAGCTCTGCGTAATTCTTGAACTCTTCAAAAGTGATGCGTATGTCTTTCACATGTGGTTCATTGTTCAATTCAATGTCAGCGGATGCAACCATGGACAACGCGAAGTCTTTCGCTGATATTGTTCCTCGTGACTTGTAGTCATAATGAGCGAACTCCAACCTCAATATCTATCAATTTTGTAACCATAAATTTAACTATATGAATTAACGGATTGATGTAAAGTTATATAAGTTTCCATGTATATATATCAGACAAAATTATTAAATAGATTTTACATGACCACAAATTAGTAAATCGAGTTAAAGTTTCTTCCTTACTTGAATCATCACTAGTGTTTATAGTTTTTTTTAATTATACAATTGAAAATTGTAGCATGTAAATCAGTAACTTAGATGAATTTCTATTCGAGATGTAATTTGGGTAAATTTATAATTTTCAAAAAATGTAAGCTCTATTTACTTCACCTCTTAAGATGGTCACAGATTTGGGGCCCAAGTCTTCTGATTTCTAATTTTACGATTCTTCCTACTGTCATTACAGCATCACATTGTTGAATCTCTTAAATGTGTGCTCATTTCAGGTCATTTCAGGGGTATTCTTCTAAGGAAATTATTTGCATAAAAACAGTGCATGCAACTTCTACATATTACTGCTATTGCAACCTCTGGGATGAGCCTAACTTCTCACAGAAACATGCGATGCCTACATTTTCAGGAATTTTTTAAAATGTTCCATAGAAATTGGTCGCATATATCCTATCAATTTCCATATCAATATCTAGTAACCATTACCGGGCTTAGCCCAAGTGGTTTTCCTCCTCCTTCCAAATATATGCTTGAGGGTTCTAGTCCCCCCACTGGGATAATAATGGGTGTGTGTGTAATTTAGCTACCTATTTTTAAATTTTTTTTTTTATAAAAAAACTATCCATTAGAGATAAAAAGATAAAATAAATAAGAATAGTGATCATTAGAAGGCCTTATTTCTTGAATCCACCCGCAGATACACAGTAGATATCTACAAATAACTTCCCATGATATACAACCTTTTGGAATTAGAAGTAACAAAACAGGACCGACATATTTTTGTTAGAGAGGCGAAAAGAAAACCTAAAAGTGTTAAATTAACTTAAACCTGTGAAAGTATTTTGGAAGAGAGACAGAGGGAGAAAAATTGCATACTTCTTCATGCAAGTCTCTTAGGATTGGACGAATTTTCCATGTTGAAGGCACTGCTTGCCATCTTTGCCAAAGAAGTACTCTGGCACACCCCCATTCTCTACAGAACCTGAAACTTTTAGTCCAATTCTCAGTCCATCCCTGTGCCGAGCCCCATGATTTTCTTAAATTCATTCCCGTCTATCTCTCTGTTCATGAATGTCAGCAGTTAATCAGTACAAGATAAGCATATGTCAATATAAAACTTACGGAAAAAGCAATATAATATTTCACTAGATATAAGGAGCCATCATTTAATTTTATACATCTTTACAGCTAGTATAAATATAAATTAGTGAACAGAATCATGAACCATTGTCCTGTTTGCACCTCTTCCGTTTCATGTATGAGATTAAACAGTATGAAAATATGCAGATAACCATATAAATGTCAACAAAACAAGTAGTCTCAACATTAATTCATTAAGAACACGTACATTTCACCCGTCTTTATTGTGGCTTGAAGCATTCTCCATGGCCTATAGACTTTAATATTGGAAAAGAGAGAATAGTTTCTTGAGTACACAAAACATATTCACTCATTTATAATATATGTTATTAGAAGCAATTCTTCGTCACCAAACTCCAAAACCTCAGCCCTATTAGTTCAGATTTTTTGCTATCATAGTGATAAAGCCAGAAGCTAGCAGTTATGTGATATGAGCATTCCAATTGAAATTCTTAACAAATACAAAAAGATTACCATTTGCTCATAGCCTTGTGTCTCTCAGTAGTTTGCACTTCTCTTTGACTTATTTGAATTTTTAAAAATACC